ATAAAATTGTAAAAATAAATAGTAAGGGATATCAATACTAATCTTTATCAACAGTCTGAATGAAAGTTTTGTTGAAAGCGGCATGAAGAGTATTTGCCAAAGAAGACCGTTGGACAAATTGTTTTGTTTTCTTTCTCGCCAGTTTAGCAAAAGTGAATTTCGGCCTGTTGAGTAATTAATGAGAATTATTTGCCTTTTTAAGTTTTTAAAAGGCATTCCATCGAAATTCATGTTACGAGGATAAAGTAAAGTTTCTTTTTTATTTGGACATTGTCCAATAAAAATAGAATCACTTTTGCCACATTTTGCTTAATAGATAAACTGCTCAAAATATTCAATATTACTGGATATGTAAGTATAAATATATATATATCTAATGTACAATAATTTATATTTATGTCGAAAATGTATATAAATGTCTAAAATGTGTTACACAATACAATATAACATTAATTGAAAAGAGCAAACATGTAATTATGATCAAACGTAGATTTATAAAATAGGATAGATATACGCAAGATAGATTGACGCAAAAAAAGAAACGCAACAGCATGTTCCGATAATGCAAAAATTCCAAAGAATGCAAATCTGATAGATTTGAATGTCTTTAAAATGCGTCTCTATATTCGTTTTTTTTTAAATATTCGTACTGTCTCGATGACTGTACAAGTTGTTAGTTCGAAAAAACTAGTAATGTAAGTAAAAATCTTAATTTGAAATGTATCGCGTTAATTTATAATTATGCCTAATAGAAATTTATGACATGCAAAATTGTATTTATAAATTGTTTAAACAAGTGCCTAAGGAGATATTTTAATAAATTCTTATTAGTCTGTTTTACATTCTCTTATTCTGTTTTATTTCTGTATATATTTTGGAACCAAATTTTTTTTCGTAAATTTCACTTTTGCAGGCACTTGAAAAATAACCGAACTGGAAAATAATATATTAATGATGGATAATTTGAACAAACAACTAGATTTGAACTCATTTTGTAAAAGATGTATCATTGAAATCTTTAGATTTTTAAATATGTGTTCATAACAGGAATAAGGTACAATACAACTTGATATTGTAATTGTTATATTGTTGATTAACTACTTTATTGTAAAATTTTAAGCTTAATATAAGTCCAATTATTGTGTTGGGAATCATTAAATTCAAATATATATTCAAATATATAACTTTTTTTAATATAAATATGTGAAATTGAAATATATCTTTTTGAACATGTATGCACAGGTTGTTTCAAATTTGATATATTTTCCCGATATTCACAAATATTCTCCGATTATTCTCTGATATTATTATATAGTTGTATTCAATATTTTGAACAATAAAAATTAGATTCTAATCAGACCAAGAAACCTGTAATGAGAAAAAACTATTCTATTGTATATTTAAGTTACAAAGTTTAATTAAAAAAAGAAAAAGTGAATTAATAATGTATAAAATTAAACGCAAGAATAAGAAATTAGCATAAGAAATAAATTATTAAAATATGTAAGCAAAAATTTTATTTCTATTTTTTATAATTATGTCGATAATCCGTGTAAATATCGATAAGTTAATAAATAAAATGTACAGAGATTTAGTATCTAATTATGATAATAACTAAAATAGTTCATATATTTTGTAATTTACATGTAAAATACATGTACATCGATATAAAGAAATTGATATATTGATGTAATTTCGTTATTGCCAAGCTCAAGTAGCTTGGCAATCACTTAAGTAGCAAGATGACGTCATTATGCTACTTGGGGAATTGTAATCGCAAAGTCAGTTAATGCAACTTTACAATAAAAAATTGAATTTCTCTTATATTGTTACAAAATATATTTGAAGATATTTGCAAAATTATGTACCAATCGCTCTTACTATTACTCAATTTTCTTATAATATTATTTTAGAGAAGTAGAGTTTATTTAAGTGTCTATATATGTCTGCATTTTATTTACATCTTTTAAAAATTTTATTTGAGTTTATTTTTCTCTTCCCTTCAAAAAACACACAAGACTTTTATAATACAGCCGGTGTAAAATTAAAATATCGCTCTACAGATTTTATATTGTCGATTTTATAAACGCAGCACGAAAGACAGAATTTTGTGCGCGACGTGTTATCTACTGCTGGGATATGTCGTACACATTGTACTACGTAATTCATAAAAGAACTTTCGTAGACGTAGGGGCGTTACGCGACAGCCCTCTGCCGAATTGGAACCGCGACTCCTCAGCTGTTGTCGGTCCGTGTCGGTCGATGTCACCCGAATCGCCAGCGGGTTTTAGGTTAACCAGACGGCTGTGAGACCGGGTAAAGAGAGCGCGGTGTTTCTGAAGTGTGCCATTAGACAGCTGTAGGTCATTTGACGATCCTCCGTCGAGAACGCCGCCTTCAGCGAAGAAACGAACGACTGGGCTGTTAAATGACTAGATAATTTAATAAGCGATCATGGCAACGCCCACCTGTGATAAGAAAGCGAGGGTGATTGTTCTAGGAGGTGAGGAAATCTCTTGCTTTATGACTATACACGCCGGTAGGACCGAGCGGAAGAGCCGATAAGACGATGGCTGGGAGACCTTTATCCGTTTGCGGTTTGCAGGATGCGGTTTCATTGGACGCAATCTCGTGGAGTATCTGCTGGATAACGATCTGGTCTCCTACATACGAGTCGTGGACAAGGTGCCGCCGCAGACTGCATGGCTTAACAAGAAGCACCAGCAGGTGTTTGAGCACCCTCTGCTCGAATTCAAAAGCGCTAATTTGATTAATACAGGTAATTGCGATTAGGATATACAAGTGGAAAGAATAGCAATTTTGTTGAATCAATTGATTCACGACTTTGTAATAATTAAAAAAAAAATAATTTGGAAGTCAATCGTAAATGATTATTTTAGAAAACTATTTGACTTTTTTATTGTCTTTCTTTTTATCATTTTATTTGTGTAATCAAAATTGATTGGTGCTAAATTGTTACATGTTTCATGTAAAGTAGAAAAAATAGTATAGATGATAAAAGATAATTTTTGTCAACCTATCAAAGCTTCCTGCCAAAATGCATTTGCATCTGATGAACCTATTGACTATGTGTTCAATTGTGCTGGGGAGACAAAGAGTGGTCTCACTGATCTGGTCTATAAAGAAGGCATTTACAAATTGAGCATAAGCTGCGCCCAGCAAGCAGCTAAGATTAAGGTCTCACGTTACGTGGAAATATCCTCTGGCAACTTGAACACCTCGGAAAAGGTATTCCTCTGAATGATATATGCCTTAATATAAATATAAATTCAGGATTGATCATTATGTAATATCTCATAGATTCCTCACAAGGAAGACGACGCTGGAGAACCATGGACATTTATCGCAAAATACAAGCTGCAAGTAGAACATGAATTGAAAAATATACCAGATTTGAAATATACTATACTTAGACCAGCTATTGTATATGGCTGCGGAGATAGAAATGGTCTAGGTAATTTTGATACTAATTTTTCTCGCGATTTATTTCTGAAAAATCTGCATTTTTTTCTTGCTAAAAAAGCCAAAGAATAATTTAATTTGGTAAATTATGTGATTTTTCAGCACCGAGATTGATAGTGGGCGCAGTTTATAAGCATTTAGGAGAAATGATGAAATTGCTCTGGGGACCGGATCTTCATATGAACACCGTTCATGTGAGAGATGTTGCTAGAGCTATCTGGCATGTAGCTAATAGACCGGAGACAATAGGCCAAACGTACAATCTCGTGGACGACGGAGATTCTACTCAAGGTTCCATCAGTGCCATAGTTTCAGAACTGTTTAACATTAACCATGATTATTGGGGCACTGCACTGTCTACACTGGCTAAAGTATACACTTTGAACTTTGTTCTTAATATATATCGCTCATCAGTTTCAGTGATACACCTAGTGATACACTATAATATATTATAATAGAAAAAAAAATTGTTAAAATTTCAATAAGATAATTCTTACAGACTGTCTGTTTTGTAGACTGATATGAGCTCAGTTGTTGAGGAGGTAAATGACAAACACATGAGCCCTTGGGCGGAAGCTTGTCGCAAAGACGGAGTGGAGAATAGTCCTCTTTCTCCGTACATAGATCAAGAACTTCTATATAACAAGCACTTGTATCTACAACCCGGGAAACTGTCAAATACCACGGGATTTAAGTATTTATATCCTAAACTGACGAAAGATGCTCTTACAGAGGTAAACTATTATCGTTCGACTTCAGATAATCTCGAAAAGAAAATGCGAGTACAAAATATTTATAATTGACCATAAATTTGCAGGTACTTAATGATTATGTGAGCATGAGGATTTTTCCACATTCTTTGATCCTGTGAATCGTTTTAGCAATACCGACTGCCGAATTCGAATATCATTCGATTCTCTTTTGCATGATGATGCTAAATATTGATGTTAATGAATACCAGGTACATACAGATGTCGAGCGTCATTTCACCTTGTGCCTAGGAAGGTTCTATACGAGTTACATATATTCTATTATACACGTTATACATCTTTACTTGACGTTTTTACACGCCGATGAATAATGGATTTTATAGAAAAGGGCATATATACGAAATCTAAGTACTTCGTAGGCGGCCTATTGCCAATGTGATAAAATAGCAATTAACGTACTTAATTTTACCATAGTTCTGAAAGCACGGAACTTCTTCGCACTTTAAAAACGGGCTAGTCAAACATTGGCATTTGGGAACGATTCGGAACAATGTTAAGGTCCTATACATAAAAATGCATAAAGACATCTAAACATAAGATCATTTATAATCTCTAAATTGGTTTCGATGAATATTTTAGAAGATTATTCGATCACAAAGGGAAAGAAAGCTTTTTATATACCATTTTTCAAGACTATGAACTATACTAATCAAGTTGTTGAAAACTTATACACTTATTAGATATATAATAGGAATTTATTTTATATGTGCTACATTCCGAGAGATCTGTCTCTTCCACAAGCTGTGAATCAAGTTCAGAAGTCATTTTATTCCGATTGAACAACTATCATACGCATAATTTTATCAATAACTCGACCTAAGTGCGACCTAAAGAATCGTATTAAATTAAGTACAAACATTGTTAGAGATGCGTTTAAAAAATATTCCTTATCGATATATGTATGATTGTTCATATTGATAGATTTATATACAAATTATGCGCGTTTGCACGCATACGTTTAATATAAAACAAAAAGAAAAATGATATCTTTTTGGCGTTAAATAAAGATATTAATATTATACTTTCGACTATATTCTGTTGTTATGCAATAATGTTGCTACGAATTCTTTGATAATAAAGTTGCTCTCCATTTGTGAAATCGCATTG